AGCACTTACACAGCACCACGGCCTCTGCCACCCCAGTGAGGGGTGCACAAGGGGCTGGGAGAGGACACAGCTGGGACAGCTGACCTGAAATACCAAAGAGATTCCATACCATATAATGTCATGCTCAGCAATGTAACTAAGGGGCAGGTTTCTTCCAAAGTATTTGTCACTCAGAGACTGGCTGGGCATCACTCTCCTCGTGGTGCATTTACATCACAATGTTCACTCACTTTTTCTTTCATTATTAAACTGTCTTCATCTCAAACCTGAAGTTTGGGAGTTTTTTTCCTTGGTTTTTTGCCCTTCTGATCCTCTCCCCATCTCACCATTAAAACTTTCTGGTACAACTCAATGATATAGCTACAAAATACATCATATGACAGAAATAACTTTTTGCACAGTAACGAAGAGAATGCCACTAAATTCTAAGTAAGCAGAATTATTCTCACAGAGTTATTTCCAATTAAAACAACAGAAATCATTTTTCTGAGAAACAACTACCGATGTTAGCTGAAGGCAAAATGCACCAAGCTCACTCTGCAGAACACTCCCACTAGCAGCAGGAAAGTCCTGCTGGTATTTTTTATGTGAGGAAAACTGAGCATAACGTGAGAGCTTGTTCCTATGGGGAAACCGTCACAAAAGAAGGCAAAATATGAAGTTAAATCAGTGGCTATTTCTCTCTACAGAACATTCATGTATGAAACTAGTAGGTGCCTTTAGTTTAGTTCAAGCAAGTTTCAAAATCAGAGTACATAAGTTCACATGGAGTATGTCACTGTTACTTGAAGTAATTTCTCCATCTTATTTTAGTGGAAAATTACTAGCATAATTTTTTTTCCTATTTGTTAAATCCTGGGAATAGGCTACTAGAATCTGAAATAACCTTTTTTTTTTTTTTAATCCTAAACCCCCCCCAAGAAAATTAACAGCCAAACTCTGAGCATTAATCTTTATATTTTCCTCAGCTATACAGACACTTTATTCTAGCAAGCATGGCAATACCACTTACAAGGACTAGAGACCAATACAGCCTTAAGTGCAGTGCACATTTCTGATTGTCAGGGTAGATAATATCCAAGTAACACAGTAACTGTGACTCACAGAGGGCTGGACACCGCTTCATAACGTGAGATTTGGCAAGCAGAAAGGAAGGAAACAAGGAAAAATGCCTCAAACACGATTATTTTCTACCCTCCAAATAATCAAGCTACTTCACCAAACATATGCCAGTACTTGCCAGGATCCAAGGGCATAGAGATTAACCTCAACTCAGTTAAAATCAGGAACTTCTCTGAAAATCCATCATCTTCCAAAATCACAGAACACAGTAGAGAGTGAGCATTGCCAGCTATCAAGATCTAGGATCCTTGTGTTATTGCACTTTTGTGATACCAAACTGATAGCACAATCTACATATTTCACCTACGCATTGTCAAACCTGCTATCTTTAGCAGCTGAAGAAAACCCCCCTCAAGATACTTCATAATTAAATTTTGCCTCCTGAAATTCACTTCTGCGTTTCACTATATTGAATAGTTATATTTATTAACTTTTCTTTTTCTCCCTAATGAAAAAAAAAGCAAAAAAAAAAGCACTAGAACACCATGCATGGGACCTGGTAGAAGAAAGAGTGCTTGAAAGAGGAAAACCAAGTAACATTGATCCTTGTTTTCCATGATCCTTGGCATATGAAGAAATGCTACAATTCAACTGAAATAATTAGGATTTTTTAAATCCTTAAAAAGATAATATATTCCCTTAAAAATGACAGACAATGATAGACCTCTGGGTCTCATAACATCAAAAAAAGTTCCTATTCTATCAGCTAAGCATTCCAGAGAAGTTGCTGGAGGGTTATTAGAAAAGGGGGTTTATTAAAGTTAAACTGGCAGAACATCAACTCCTAAAAAAGTAGTAACTCTGATTATCTGCGTCCAATCTCTTTCTTCCAGGAAAGCAACGTTCTATGAATTTTCACACTATTAATTTGCAACCCGAAATATTAAATTAATTGCATGTAACAATAAGGGAGAAAGATGTAGGGACTTTCCACAGCACAACAAGCTTATCTGATGAAAAAAAAATGTTCTGCAAAAATCATGGGCCCTGTGTCTTACATTAACATCTAGTTCTTATCACTCCTGTTCTAAAAGGCTAAACTCAGAATGTGCACAAGAGAAAGAGCTCTGCTGGGGTTTACAAACCATTTAATCTCTGCCAAGTCCCTGACTTTCTAATTAGGTAAACCAAATTTAAAAAGTCTCAAAAACACTTAAAATATAAACTTCGTATTTCTTCTGTAAGTGCTACTGAAAGAATGGTTATACACAGGTATTTTAACAACAGTTGCTAAAAATGAAGCGCAAAAGCTCATGTGAATCCAGAACAGGACACAAACTGACAGGAAACATTAAAAACCCCAAACACATTAACTGTAGTTTTAACAGATATAACTGTAGTTTAAACAGATATAAAATGCCTTTTAGTCTTTAAATTTAGAGCACTCTCAATTAAAAGTGTCAGATCTACCCAAACCACAACACCCCCACATTTACGGTTTATAAATTTCTGTGCTCAGCTCCCACAGTGCACATGAACATCATGCAATTCCAACTCCATTGCCTATTCCATTTCCTAATTTTCCTACCTTTGCACAGCATAATATACAATCAACTGAATACATTTTAACATTAAAGGTTTCTTTCTCCTGTCTTTGTCAAAACCCATCTCCCCTCCAAATCACACAGGTTTGAGCCAAACACAAAAGGCACTTGTCTTTTTTTTTAAAGCCTGCATTTTCAAAGAGAATGAATGCTCCTGAAATAAATATGAATAAGAAGATTAATTTAAAAGAACATTTAAGATGTTATGAAAAAATCTCATTAAAAATATATTTTAAATGCACCTGCAGTCCATTCCCTGCATGAGCGTATTTATTAGCAACTATGTATTTGTACAAACTCACTCAGGTGCATTCTTCAGAATTAAAGGAGATGTTAATGCTAATTCTCAAATTAAGTTTCTTATTTTTAGTGGGCACAACAGAAAGGAAATAGCAAGGTCTCAATTCATTATCTGAGCATTGCTAAAAACTGTAATAATCTGCCAACTTGTGAAAAAAATTCCCCTCAGAAAAATCCCCAGGAGCTTCTTCCCAAGCACCACAACGAGAGCAGATGGCCAGCATCAAGACTGCAATTACCAGTCTGGCCTGACAGTTCCACAGATGACAATGATACTCTTTTCTTTTTGTGGATGTGTGCAGGGGGCAGCTTGAGAGCTGCAGACAACTAGGTATCATAGGCATCAACCCCTTCCACTAAAAATATACAATCAATTGCCAGGCCTGTCATATGATTCCTCCATTAACCTTCATTTCACCATTAAGTATCCCTTCTTTTTTCTTTAACACTTTCTTTTCTGCTACTTAAGTTTTTCAAACAAATTGGTGGGAAATGTGTAACATTAAGGATGCAGCAGAACTGACCATTGTAAAGCATTGCCAAAGACAAACATCACGAACTATCTGCTGCTGCAACCTTGCAACCTTTCCCCTCTTTATTTTAGTCTCCCCCCCACCCAGCCCTGAACAGATTATTCTCTTGCCTACAAAGGAGAACAGACTATCTGATGAGGAGCTGCTGTTTCGTTTCCTCTCCTTCATCCCACCCCTCAAATGGGGGGGAAGCCCTCCAAAGGGGGGAGGGGAGGGCATGGTTTTAATTCAAATGCTGCATCTTAAAATACTATTGTGCAGCATTTGGCTGGGAGTGATTAAAGCTATATATAAATACACACCATGAGAGTACTTCATCCCCCCTACATCTCTGGGGGAAAAAAAATACCAAAAAATTTCTGCATTAATAACCATTTACTATTTCAGTTTTACACCCAAGAATTTGAATATCTGAGCAAAACCTTTATTTTGCCAAAGCCAACAACTGCTTACTAATGAAAGGAAGCAGAAAACAAGTTATGAGCTGACAGATGCAACAGAAAGAGGGTGGAAAGGATTTTCTCATGTGCAAAAGAGGCCTGACAGACTTAACTGAGGCATCTGGACCTCTCCTCAGGAATGCCCACCCCTCCACAGAGTCTTCTGACTTACACCGATTCAGCATTCCTTACTTAATTTCTACTAATTCTTCCTGTTCTTCCTCATTCCAGCTACCCCTTTTGCAATATTTATCAGGCATAGAAAGCTGCTGGAGAAAAGTATATCACAGTCCTGCTGCCATTCATTATCTGTCTCGAAAATCTTACTGGGAAATAAGTCAATGCAAGAAGGAAACCTTAAGTCTCACTACATCTCTCTCATTCTGGCTTAATTCCAGTGACAGGCTGCATAGGGAGGGTGACAATGTTATGGAAACACTGCCACTGTAGAGGCTGTACCCCTCCCTGGTAAGATCACCTTTGACTAATCATGATTTAATCCAAACTAAGTTCTGACAATCTTTAGACACTGTTGATTCTTCTCAAAGATCCTTAACTATGTGTCAAATGCCATGCAATAAAATGTGAATTCCTTCCCACCAGAAGAGGAGATGAAAAGATTCAACACACTTTCCTCACGCAGTATGAGCAAACTTTCTTTGCTCTGACATACACTATGTGACACACACAATGAATACCAGAAAGCATTGTCCTCTTATCAACCCCCTCAAAAGTTTCTGCTTTTCCCCCACTTGTTTATCAAGTGCTGTAGTACAGGACATTACTCCTCTGTAGAAACCTGGCACTTCTTGCAACTGCAATTATCAAAACATGTAACACAAGCAACCCCTTTGTGGCAGAGATGCAAGTTAATGCATACAATTCATGCAGAACTAAATTAATCAACCCTTACCAAAACAATTACTTGGCTCCAGCAAGGAAAAAACTCCATGTGCTCAACAGCTTTGCAAAAGTACGGTTAGCTTGTGCAAAATATCTTTAAAACATTTTGGATTGTTTCTCTCTCAGAAACATACAAAACTTTAGCAGTGTCAACTCACCTTCCACACTGTCAGAACAGGAGGTACCAATCCCAGTGTCCCCGCTGTCAGAAGCTATGCTGTGTCTTCTCACAGGATTGTTTTGATTGCTTGACGAAATCGTTGAGGACTGCCACAGGGATTCAGTACCAGGTAACCATCCCACGGAGGAATAATCCGAGCCTATGAAAGAGAAAGCCAGAAGTCTGTCATTGGAGATACAATACAAAGATCAGCAACAAAATACCTGTCAAGATGAAAACTGAAACCTATGTTTCATAGATAAAACTTGAGCCAGAGTGTGCATGTGTCTTAGAGATTTTTTTTTTGTTAAGTAAAATCTTTTTGCTAGATGAAAGCTTCCCCAGAATTCCAACACATGTATTTTTACTACTTAAAATTTTTCTTGTACTCTTTAACAAGACACTTATCATACGATTCCTATCCTAGAACTGATTCTCAATTCACAGCAGAATTTTGCATTGCAAGCTTTCAAACACAAAGCAATGCATTAATTTTAGGACAGAAACCAGTTGAACATTCGGCCACTGAGATACAGTCCTTTTCTACTGTACATAAACCACATGACCTAGGTGATAAAGCCAGCAATGAAATAGCCAACACTGATATCTAAAGTCATTCCTTATGTAGCTGCACATAAACTGCCTTTGTGAGACATGTATCCATCTAGTGGTTTGTTTCATTTTGGTTATTTTTTTCATTTAAATAATCGCTAAAATATTACATTTTAAAACACAATTCAGAGCAGCAACTAGTTCCTCTGTTCAAGGAGTTTTTAAAGTAGGCCACATATTCTCACAGCCAACCTCAAGGGAAAATTTATCACAGAGTACAATCCCAGAAGACCATTACAATTTCCAATAGCCAGTATCTAAATGTGAGCATTGTTTAAAGACAGAATACTGATCACCACATTCATACTCTGAACCAGCACAGGCACTTAACAAACCATGGAAAAAAGCATGGCTGCTCTTCATTTATATATAATCACATACATACACCCCCTCTAGCACTTAGCTTTGTATAGCACTTTCAGCAGGAAATGATTCATGAAGAAGTATCAGCTCACATATAACGTCTCTTATGCTACATGACGTTATTTTTATATCATTTAAACACTTTCAGCAGTGTCCATCTGAAGTCGTAACAGCAATTTGCCTCTGCAAGGACATCTGCTATTTCCAGCTGTACTTGTTTTCCAGTAAATTAAATAGTTCAGAAAACAATGCAAAAATTAAATATGTAGGTACATATACAACCCCACTCCCACAAACATGAATATATACATGGTTCCCATGCAGCAGCCAAATCACTAGACCTAGAGACCTGGAGTGGTAACAGCTGCTTGCCAAGCCAGCTGAAAACTGAGGAACACAATAAATGCTTACACACTAAATTCCTTATGGCATGTGCTATTGAACTGTAACATGACATCTAATACAGTCTTTTTTGTAGGTAGGCTCTTGGAGACCTCAAATATGCCTGTCCATCTCATTTGCCTCAACTTCATTTTCTGTTGAGATTACTGCCTCTTCTTCCCTTCAGCACATTTGCCTACCTTTTCTCCCTCTAATTCAAAATCACCCAGTTCTCCTTCCCCTCCATTCTACTTCAGCCATACCTTGTCCAATGTATTTCCTTCTCTTCCTTAAGCTTAGTTTTGCCTCTCCAGAAGTCTCTTTAACTATTCCAGTGAGTATCTTTCAAGTCCACAGGTGAGGGGGAAGACCAGAGGAGCCAGACATGAACGCACGTGCCCATGGCTTACCAGTCACACCCTGTAAAGGGGTCCCAGCCAAGATTCCAATGGAATACCACTCCAGGTGTCATCCTTCCTGTCACACTCTCTTGTGTCATCATCTAATGTACTCAAGTGTGACAGTTTTGCATACAGCTAGTGGAAACTGGGACATTTCTTCTCTTCATCCAGCACATTTTTCACTAATACTCTGGCTACTTTGGGAACAGTAATTTTACCACACCTCCCTCTGAACAGGGCAACTTTCCAGAAGAATTCCACTTCATCCCTCTCAAGCTGCATCTAGCTATTCAAGCAAGAGTAAAACTGACTTATGGAATGCCAAGCTAATTAAATCAGGGACAGTTCTGATTTAGGAGACATTTAAAATACATTTATAGAACAGAAATTTAGATGGATTCACCCCTTCTTATACCATTTTCCACTATACAACTCTTTGGTGCCATTTCAGCTTTTATGGTATTACACAGGTGTTAAAAGAAATGCACCAGATAATTTAATATGGAGTAGTGGTAGCAATAAGACAGTATTAAGTGTGAAACCCTTCAGATCTCTTAGAGAAATGCTCAGCATGTGAACCTACAACCATCCATATACAAACGCCCAAAAGGCAGAGCTACTTTTCACTCTGGTGGAACTTTGAAGAATAAAAGCTAAAAATACCACAGAATGAGAGTAAATTAAGAAAGGACTTTAAGAAGTCACGTACTCTAACCTTAAGCTGAAAGCAAGATAATTAGATCAGACTGCTCAGGGCCCCATCCAGCCGAGTCTTGAACACCTCCAAGGACAGATTTCATAGCCTCTCTGGTTCCTCCAGCATTTCACCACCCTCCATTCCAAGAAAGTTTTCCAAACATCTCAAGAGTCTCTCATGTTCCAAACATATTGCTGCGATATACCCCAACAGATGCAACAAGCCAGTGCAACTAGACTCAGTTAACAAACAGGGTTAACATGCTAGAGGGGGCAGACAGTCATTCCCATCGGGATCTCTGCAGGTACTGTAAGGAGAGAAAGTAACAGGCACCACAAAACACCCTGCTGTAATCTATTCTCAGTTTTACACCTACACACAGACAGCCTGGGGACACACCAAGCCCCAGGTGTGTCCTTCAAGAAATGCTTTCTCTTTGTCCCCTGACATGAAGCATAATCCTTTTTTGTTCTTCTAAAAACGATAGCTAATGACATAATCCAGGAGTCTGCAGTTTTTAATGTTTCATGGCACATCCACACAATTGTGTTACCTTGCAGACCTAATGGAGATTATATGTCAGAGAAGGCCATTACAAATATGCAAGTGTCTGCATGAGAAAGTGAGTTCAATCACCTTTGAAAAGCTGTATCATAAACAACCAAATACAAGCACCAAGACAGTAAAAAGAAACCCAAATATACTATTTTATGGGTTACTTCCCTCAACAGTAAGTAACCCATAAAATAGGATGTTACAGACCTCATTAGTCCAAGACATTATTTAAAAATTAATATATTATTTTCTTTATTTGAAACTCACCTTCTGAGCCAAGTCCTGAGGAATCCCCAATTGCTATGCACCCCATTCTATGCTCCCCATCTCCTTTTTGGACAGCTCTCAGCAAATGCAGGATCTTTCATACAGCAAACAGCCTACACTAAAAGAACCAAGTCTGACACAGGAGTCCCCCCCACACTGCTCAGCCAGCACACCTGCCTCACCCTGCTGCTCTGATCTCAAACCTGCCAATCAACAGCCAGCATCCATCTGCCCAAAATACCGAGTGGAGTAAGAAAATCAAGCAAAAATTTCTAATCAATATTTGTGGTGCTGAATTGCATATTAGCATCTGTCTATGATCATTCTTTACTGGGTTAGAAAAATCTACCTTTCATAGGATTCATTAGGAGAGAAAAAAGTAGTGTCATCCTACCGGGCTGCAATTTCCGCCAAAAAACATGACAAAATACATATAAGATCACCAAAAAAATCTCAAAATAAGCCTTGTTTATACAAACGGTTGAATGCCTCCTTAAATTTGGTCAGTTAAATATACCAACATAGTCCTCTGTTTTCAGCCTAGGCATTTAAAACAGATCCCTTTACAACTAAGTATATAAAGGGCAGGAAGTAGATTATTTTTTAAAAGGGAACAGTTGTTGAAATTTCACTCCACAAAAACATGTAGCTTTTTTCTGTGTGTTACAGAATGCTGTCATCTATTGCTGTCAGAAAGACTCACAGTTAATTCTGGATCATTACCATGCCTAATTTCAGTGGCACGCACAGACCCCCTGTGATGTACCTATGCAAAATAATAACATTAGCGTCTTTACATTTGGTTCCTAAAATACCTCTAACATGCCTGAATGTAAAGATTGTTATTTTAAGTGACAGCTATGATACTGTTACTTTACCTAGACACTGAATGGAAAGAAACAGCAAAAGACTTAACTGGGTTTCACAGAAGATACATCCTGAACTAAGAATACTGGTTTTTCTATTCCACACTATGACTGACATGGATTGTGACCAGAAGTGAAACACCCATGACAGCCAGGGCAAATTTATACAGTCAAAGGATTCTGAAGAAGATCTCTCTACAGTACTATCAAAACTAACTACGCAAAGCTCATTCTGGTCATCATGGATGTGACCAGGCTGTACAATCGTATTTCACGCCAGGATGGCATTGAAGTCTGCCTGAAGCCCTTGCAAGGAAAGAGAGTCAGCATTCAGCCCAAAGACATTGCCATAGTTAATTAGTTTACCCTCACCATCTGTACCTTTACCCAAAACATTGCTAATTATGCACAAAGATCACGTGACAGTATCTTGAAAGAAGTCACCCCACCTTCAAGCCAGTTCTCCCACATCCACTCATATAATCCACTGAAATTGCTGAATTTATTCCGATTGCATCTTCTACACACTCCCTTCTCAACAAGTTCTTTAAGGTGTAATAGCCTCTCTTTCACTTTCTCTCCTGTACCATAGGGCTGCATAACCACACATCCAGAAAAAGTCTACAAACAAACCCACAAATGGTCTCTCAATGATACAGTTGATGCATCATAAGAAAAAATTTACTTTGGTTGGGAAATGTTTGTTTACTCATCATACCTGCAAGATGATTACTGCCACGAGATTAAAGAAAATCTCACTCTGGGGTGTGTTTCATGCACAAGCCTTCATGGATAATATTCTTTAACTGCTGGAAAGACAACACAGTGAGAAAAGGCGACGGAGGCAGGGGAACCCAAAATGCTAAAAAGCTTTTCCAAAAGCAGACAAGAGCAGATGTCACACTTTAACACATTTATACAGGGCTTTTAAAAAAGCTGGGAGCTAGCAATAAAATGGTGCGACGGCAGTTTCCTTCAGTCTAAGGTGAAGTGAATGAATGATAAGGTGCAGTTATTC